CCGCCGCCCGCGCCCCGCTCACCTGTGCCGTACAGCATGGCCAGCAGGATGGAGGACACCCAGGCCGTGTCGCTGTAGCCGATGCCGAACTCCCGCATGAGCTCCTTGAAGAAGACGCTGACCGCCTTGGGGAAGGCGTAGGAGAAGCCGGTGACCGCGAAGCAGCCCAGCAGCACGGCCCAGCCCCAGCCCCCGTCGGGGGCCTTGACGCCGGCCGGGCCCTCGTCCACCACGGCGCCGCCCATGGCAGGGGCCGGTCCCGAGTCCCTGGGGAGACAGGCGGGAGCGGGGTCGGGCCGCGTGGGGACAGGGCCGGCCCCCCCAGGCCTCACCCTGGCAGTCTAAAGGGCAGTGGCTTTTTTGGGCTCAGCCGGTACTCGGGTTACCTCCCGGGAGGGCAGACCCGGAGGGCCCGCGCCCCACCCCACGCCCCGTGGGGAGCGGCCCCCACCCTGCCCCACGGGGGCCTGGGGGCGCAGGGGCAGCCACCCCCTTGGGAGAGGGCCGGGCTCTGGCACCCCAGCCGGTGTGTGGCCAGGGGGCTGGTGGCCACCCGCGGCGCAGGGCAGCCTGGGGCCAGGCTGGGTGCTGACCACCCCCACCCAGAGGTCAGTGGGCGCCGGTCCTGCCCACTGGGGCCCCGTCCCCGCTGCTGCCTGTCCCTGAGTCTGCCGGCGCCCACGGCCGCAGGCCGCCCCTCCCGGCCCGCAGAGGCCTCGCCCCCCAGCCAGGGCCCCTGGGGCTGGGACTGCCGCCACGGGGGAGCCCTCCAGCCCAGCCCTGGGGACCCGGCCTGGGCCTCCTGGCCCCCGCACCCTGACCCCTACCTCTGACCACGCGGCCGGAAGGAGGCCCTGGGGTCTCCGAGCAACTCGAGGCTGCAAAACAGAAGCGGCGGCGCTGGCGGGGCCCGGCAGGGACCCTCGTGGGCCGCCGTGCCAGGCCGGACAGCAGGTGCCCGGGCTGCGTCCTGGCTGGCCGTGAGGCCGTGTCCGGAACCGACCGACCGGTGGTGTGAGCCCAGCCCGGCCCTGGAGCCGCACGCTGGCTGCACCACCACACTGCCCCGGGGCCCGGCCGGCGCAGGACCTGGCCTGCCGGGATCCCCGGGGTCAGGCCCGGCCCAGCCAGCTGGCCCCCGCCCAGGCTCCGGAGGCTGCCAGTAGCCCCACCTGGTGCCAGCGGAAAGGCGGCCCCAGCACGCCCCACAAGAAGGGGCCCGGTTTGGGGCGGCGAGCGGCGCCTCCCCAGCGGGTCGTGTGCGGGCCTCGAGGCCAGCCTTCCCCGGAGCGGCTCTGGGGAGCCCGTGGCCGCCCGCTCAGGGGTGCTGGCCCTCTGGGCACCGGCCAGCACCGGCCCCTGGTGACACCTGCCCTCGCGGCAAGCGGGCCGGTGTGGGTGCCCAGGCCAGGTGCCGCCAGGGCTGCCCCTCAGGCCCCGTGACCCCACCAAGGGCCGCTGCCTGCCTGGGCCAGGGCCAGGGCCAGCGGGGTCCAGCCCTGCGCCTTCGGCACAGCCACCGGCCCTGCTGAGATGCCCGCCGCTGCCCCCTGCGCCTCCTGCCCACAGCACACGGTGGTGCCAGCGCCCCCGCCCCGGGGCCAGGCCGCTCACCATGTCACTCCTGGCCCCACCCGCAGCCCTACCCGCACCCCACGGGGCCACCCCACCAGCCTGGCCCTGTCGGGGCCTCAGGTGCGCCCTCCAGGGGCCCCGGGGCCATCTAGGCAGGAAGCTTGGTGCCCAGCTGGCTGCGGGCGTGGCAGGAAGGGGCCGTCCCTGGGAGGCCGCGGAGCAGAGCCCGGGCCCTCAAGCTGGCAGCGGCTGCGCCTCAGGGGGCGACCTCACGGGGACCCCCGAGTGCCCCCACTGCCCAGGCCGCGCGGGCGCTGGCCACAGTGCCCAGTCGACCCTCTGGACCCGCGGCGGCTGCAGGCCGGGCAGTGCGTGTCGTCGGGTCGGGTCGGGTCGGGGCGCCTGCCCTGCCCTGGGGCAGCCACCAGGCGGCCCCCCGCGGCCTTCTTTTCTGGGGGGCCAGGCCTGCGGGAGGCACCGAGGGGCAGGGGGTGCTGGGCCCCTGGCCACCGGCTGCTCCCGACAGACCTCCCCTCCCTCTGCTGCCAGCTGGGGCCAGGAGGGCAGGGGGGCGGGGCAGGGGTCAGGCCGACCTGGGGGAGGGGCCCTGCTCCCCGCCCCTCCCCCGCCCCGCTCGGCTCCCTGGGGGGAGGGGCGCGCCTTCCTGGCCATTGGGTCCAGGGGTGGAGAGGAGGATGCTGCGCGGCCCCGCCCCCGCCCCTCGCC